GTCGGGCCCACCCCTCGGGACTAGTATATCTTCTTCCGTGTTCTTGGCTGAGCGAGCTGCTGGCTGGGTGTACGCGACAGGCCTTGCCGGGAGTCAGCTGAGGTAAAGCCCAGACAGCGAGGTTTCCCTGCCAGTGAAATGGTGCGGGGAGGGGGGTGGGTTTGTGAATGAGTCGTGTGCCTGGGACGGAGCAGTCGGGGCTTTCAGAACGGCCCGAGGTCACGACCAGATTCTGCTGCGGGGGGCGGGGACAGCCGAAGGGGACGCTTCTTTAGGGCTCTCCTTTGGCAGGGCTCCGTCTGGGACGAGCTCTGGGTGCGGCGTGTGTTTCCGGTCCGGGCTCAGCCTGTGCCTAGGGTCGGGGCTTGGGTTGTGACAGGTGTCTGAGGTCGGAGCTCATCCTGGGGCCAGCTTGAGACTCAGTCCCTATCAGGCTATATGGCTGGGCTCAGGGCTCAGACAGTCCAACGTCATGAATAATTTTTCATGTGAGGAATTTATCATATCTGTGTACTCCATTATTTTAAAGTTAGATGTTTTCATTTAAAAGCTCCTGACATAGGTGGGTCGCTGTACAGTGAGGAGAGAGAATAGTGTCAGGTACCGTCTCTCTCCATAGGGAGTTTCCAGGCTACCTGTCAGATGGTCAGTAGCAGATCAGAGGCCATCGCTGGTGACAGGATTGAAGTGTTGGAAGTGCTTGAGTTTGGGTCAGGCAGTCCTGGGTTCGGATCTCACCTCTGCCACTTCCTAGCTGTGTGTTCTCAAGAAAGTCATTTTCCCTCTCAGAGCTTTAGTTTCTCCTGTATTAAAAGAGCTTAGGAGGGTCATTGTGAAGGTTGAATGGGATTACATGAGTCACCTTGTAATGGCACCTGTCATGAATTGGGTGCTGAATATTTGGCACATGAAATGGGTGTGATATCTAGGAACTAGGTCATTTTGGACTGGGGTACTTTAGAGAGGCCTTTGGGGGAAGAGTTAAGGTCACTTAGGTCTTGAAGCCTCAGTGGGATTTATAGGTGGAACTGACCTTGCAGGTTGGGTCAGTGCTTACTGACCAGTGCCCATGTGCCCAGTACTGTGCTGGGCATTTCATATATATTGTTTCACTAGATCCTCAGCCTCTGACCAAGTGCTTTCAGCCCCACTGTACTTAGCTTCAGCCCCTGTAAAGAAGGCTTGGCTGGAAGTGATATAAAGAGGAGATCCAGGGTGGTTTTTTATGTGGAGCTGGGCCAGGTGGAGACTCTGGTGCTCCCTCCCCAACTTCTCCCACATCAGCGCTTCCTGTTCTGTGATCCATAGGGTTAATTGGGTTTTTGACTTTGTCTGGAAGTCCTGTTATGCTAGCAGATTTTGACGGTTAACGGGCCTGGCAAGGGAACACCTCTTAAACTCAGATTACATGAAGCTGAACCTGGGCAGTGAGAAGCTCTGTGAACAGGAGCTGTTGGATTCCGGCACATACTTATGAAGCTTCCCGTAGTAATCTAGTAATTTGGTTCCTTTTGCATCCTTTTCATGCGTGCCCATGTGATCTCCCTGAGACAGTGTTCTCATCATGTTATATCTCTGCTCAGAAACCTTGGTGGGCCTCATTGCCTGTCATATAGACTTTGGACTCTTCAGCCTCGTGGATGAGTCCCTCCATAATCTGTTCCCAAATCTCTCTCCTGCCCTGTTTCCCTTTGTTCTCCCAAACCTGCACCCTGTGGCCCAGGCAAAAAAAACTAGTTTTTTTTTTTTTCCTTAAGTACTCCCTGCATGTTCCTTTGCCTATATTCCGTCTTCCTGAGGTTCCCACCTCCCCATCTTTCAAGGCCTGTGTCTCATGTAGCTTGTCATTGAAGCTTCTCTGGTCCGCCCTACTGGATTAGTTGCCCCCTTCCCATCTTCCGTAGCAGAGGCTACACCTCAAATATAGCTCTTATTACAGTCTGCTTTGGGTTGTGT